CTGCTTCTAAACCCCTCTATGTCGGTTGATTGATCATTTATGCTTCATGAACTGAGGGATGAAACAGAGCAGAGGAGAAATTATGTTTTCTTGACATATCACAACACCGCTGCTAGGTGACAAGAAAAACCAGAAGAATAATTCAAAAAGTTTGTCTGTTGTTGTGTCTTTTCAGTTAGTTATCTTCACACGGTCAGTTTTTTTTTCTTTCAACAAGACCCCCTGGTTATGACCTCATATTTTCCACGCAGCACAGTCTGTTGTGCTCTGTATCGGCCGTGTCTTTAATCAGCAGCGCCATCACATGGCCAGTGACGTGAATCCGACAGCTGGCAATGCAAGAGTTGCGTGAAGGTTGTGAAGAGATGAGTTTTTTTTAGTGTCTCCCTTTACTATCACCACGTCCATTTTACAGTTTTAAGGAAGGCACGTGACGTTTCCAGAGTGCTCTCCATTGACGTTGCATTAATTATCGTTTATGTGTTGCTGTTTTGACTCACAGGCACTTGAACCCCTTTTTGTCCAGCAGCTGAAGGAAAGACACCCAAAGAGATCTCCGTAAAGCACATGTACTGTATAATCCTTTTTTTTGCACATAAAATATTATGGTAGAATACGTAAAACTTAATTAATATAAAATATCCAATAATAAAGGCATCTTGAAACAAAAGGACTTACCCAATCTGTATTTCTGTTTAGCCTCTTCTCTCTCTTTGGCATCAAAGTACCAGACTGTGATGGCATAGCTGTGAGGAGGAACAGAAGAGGACGTTTATTAAAATCAATTCAACTGAAAAAAAAAATGACATGACACAAAATACATGATAGCAGTGCTTGAAACAAAGGACAGATGCAAATATAGATTATGCCAAACTGTTAATAATAATCAATTATAAATGTTCTAATTAAAAAAAACTGAGATGTTGTGTTTTAAATTCACTTCTAAATTGAATTAAATTATTTTCTGTGAAATTCTCCTTGTGCTAAAAAAGTCTTTATTTATAATTCAGTCGAACACCCGGTTGAATAAAGCAGGTGTCATTTTCTCAGCAGAGTACATTACAACAGAATATACACAGTGTGACAGGTTTTGGTATGTAGACAGCAGAATGAAAAGTTTCTGCAGCTTCTTTTATCTCCTGTGGGGCTGCAATGTTTATTCCTGTCTCCTGTGTCTGAGCTTCTTCAGCACAAGTCCTGCAACTGAACCTTCCTTTCTCACCCCCTCTGACCAATCCCCCACCAGGAAACACATACTTCCTGTCTCCAGCTCCACCTTGCCCCCAGCAATCAGGAGGGAGACTATAAACATATATTTATATGTTTTGTGTGCAGGTACTGTATCTATCAGTCTGTTTATGTACAGACATGCTTCATCAAGGAAACCTTTTAAGTTTAGATTCTACACACTCTGTGTAGTGCTGTGACATCCTGTGAAAAAGTTGCTGACGTATTTGAGTTGTGGCACAGCTTTAGTATGAACAGTAAAAGCCTGACTAACCGAGTAGCGTAGGCTGGCTTCACTTCATGTGGGTTCCTGCGGTCAGACCAGAAGATGAGCAGCCGGTCAAACAGAGGCTCAATGTTGGCGACCACATTTTTGCCCTCGGGGAAAATCTGCAACAAGCCTCCTTGTGTCTACAAAAGAGAATTACACAGAAAAAACAACAGCAGTCTATTAGAGTAGTTCAAAAATAAGTTGAAGTTCCAAAGTGTAGGATTTGTTTTAACTGAACCACTGATGACAAATGTACCTTCACATCCCAGTTCTTGTTCAGATAGTAGATGCAGGTGATGCAGCGTCCATCACCGTTAGGATTGTCAACATGACGAACATACCCTGTCCCATTCCCTGGATAACAGGCAACCATGGCCTGGAAGAAGACAAAAGACAGTGAATGTGAATGTGTCAATGCATAAGCATTTTGGAAGAAGAAAAAAAAACTATTATATTATTATATTAAATAGTCTGCATTAGTCTACATATAGTATTCACTGGATTTCTCATGTCACACTGGGGAAATCTACTAAAAATTAAAGCATTATTTCATTTTAAAAAAATTACAAAATAAATACGGTTTTCGGAAGATGTTGTGTCCTGAATTATAAGCTTTGCAGCTCGGTGTGTTATGATAAAATGATATTGTGTGCTAGTATCCAACATTTGATTTGTACTGAAACTAACATGGTCAGTGGAAAAACACTAAAACGACCAGCCTGACCTTATGTGTGTTTCCTATTGATGGGCGATGCTACTCATTATCTGTTCTTCAGTTCCTGTAAGACCTTGACAATTGCATGGACGTACTCCCTGTTTCTGAGTTACTGTTAGGCCTGATAATCTCACAGGTAGAGATGGTACTGAGGTCAATTGACTCATATTCTGGTACACACACACAAATGTATCCAGCACACTATAAATGTAGCTTATACTCGTAGTTTCGTTAAAGCTTCCAAAACAACCTTTAATGAAAAAGGTGACTGTAGACAAAATTGCCAAAACAGGTTGTGTTTTATCATCTATTTCCCTCTAAATAAGATCCAAGTTGATGTAAAAATCACATTTTGTTATTCGACCTAAACATGACTCACACATTCAGGAAAAGAATTGTTAATGCTAAAAATTGGGAGAAACTTCATCTAACATTTCCCAGACTTTTATTGATGGAAGGTTACTTCTAAAAAAAAGCTGGACCTCGTGATCCTTTTCCCCGACTGCAATGATAAAGAGGGTTGCTAAATCAGTCTCTTTATAAAGAATCCATTGTGATTAATTATCAGTGGAAGGTATTACCAGTGAGCAGATAAGGACTGAGAGGGTTATGTCATATGCAGGAAGAAGCTAATAAAACTTTAATAGAGATATACATCTCACCCTGTGATTTGAGAATCATTATTTAAGTCACTTTATTCACCATCACGTTCATGTTTTCGCCCCACACATGGTAAAGCACCTGTATATTTGCCACATTTTCACCAGCTGTTTGTGAAGTGACACAGCAGTAGCAGCAGACACAAAATACGACGGCATTAAAGTATGTCAGCATTCAGCTTTTGTTCTGCCGTGAAACAATCCGCAGAAACAGTGTTGTTGTATCCATGTTCTAACAATGGCTGTGGTATTTCCTTTTGGTTTACATGTGTGCTTTTGACGCAGTACTGCAGCTGAACGTGATGGTTTCAGAAAAAAAGAAAAACTTCACTGAGCTGTAGCTGTATGATCATGAAAAGAAGGTATAAAGTACATATGACTGCTTACGTTGGATGCCCCTTCAGTGACCACCAAAAGTTCCTGCTAACATGGGTGTAAAAGTATGTAATAACAACATGCAAATTCACGCCTCCAGTGTTTATTCACAATAAACTGTTTTGACAAAATGATTTAGGGAAATAGTAAAAGAAAAAGCTTTTCTTCCTCTTGTTATAAACAAACATGTCTCTGTACTTTTTTTATTTTCCGTCACTGTCTTTTAAAAGGTTTGGCTTCTGTTAAGAACTCAAATTGACTAAATATATGGTAATATTACAAATTATTCTATATTGTAAATTACAAAATTGCACCAGGACATGTGGCTGTCAAACACTGTCAAAAGAAAAATTACCCTGCACATGCAAAAGAATATATACATACATACTTTTACCCTTTTATCTCTTGACCAGGCCAGCTGATCACTTCAGAAACGAAGAAGGTGAAATAAAACCCACAACAGTCAGTTGCAGACAGAGACCGATAAATGAATGAGTGTGAAGCAATAACTACCAGACGGTCTCTGTCACTGACCTGACGTTTGTTGTTCTGCATGATAAGCAAAAGTAATGCTGTCACAGAGTGAGTGCATCAGCTCCGATCAGCTGTTTAACACTCATTCATGACTAGCGGGTTCTGCGCTAGTGCAGTATTGATTCAGCTGTTCCGACACCATCCTTTAAGCTGTGATACAACACTTCAACAGTCTCACAGCTCGGGAAAATACAGAGAGCGCTCACATAGATTTTCAAGACAGATGCACGTCCCCCACGGTGTGTGTAAAGCTTTAAGAAAAGTGACCAGTTGTTATATTCAGGAAGGCTTAGGTCAATAAGTCTTCCTGCTCTTATCCTGGGGATTTCGCAAAAAAGCCAATAAGTGAAGTTGTATTTTATGGCTCAGACACTTTTGTCAGCTTTAATTACCAACCCACGCTCACAGTCAGAGCTCTTTCACCTCTGGACCTTTTTGCTTCAAGCGTTATCTGACTAACAGACAAGCAGTGTTGTAATGAACTCAACAAAACAAATGTGTGTGTAGCTTGATATTTTTATGAGCACTAACACGATTTGAGGGTTTGAAAGTTGGTCTGAATTACTTTTCTATTCCCCTATCACAGCAGTAAGGAGCAGCTGGTGACAACCACAGCTATTTCCACTTGTTCTAAACTGACCCAAACAAACCAATCGGGTCAGAACACCAGCAGTCACTTCCTGTTCAGAATCTTGAATTATTTTTCTTCTGTAAAGCCATCTCTCTATCTGACCAGACCAGGAGGCTGCAACAAGACTTAAAGATGGAGGAGGAGGTTGAGGAAGTTTGATGCTTTATTCTTCCCTACTACAACTTCAGTCTGGTTATCTGATTCAGAACAACTTTAATCTAAATAACAAATGTAGCAATTTCAGCAAAAACAATAATCACTAACTGTTGTGAAATATAAGATACAGCTCAACCCTAGCCTTCAGCATAAACACACACACAAACTCACACTGAGAAATGCAGTGCGTGACACTGCATGTTAATGTTATCTGTCATTTCTGTCATTCTAACTGTTTCATCTGTGCAAAGATCTGTGCCCACAGTAAACTCACTACTAATTGGCAACAACCACTTGTCTGCCAGGCACCAGCATTTACACCCGAAGGCAGCGCCAGGCTGATACCTCAGCCGTCATGGTGACGCAGGCAGACGGGCAGAACGATCTGTTTTAGGACAAGAACGAACACAAACTCCAGCGTGGCTGCGTGCATGTTCTGATAAGATGAATGATGACAAGGAAAAAGTGGAAGAGCAGAAGGATGAGAGGGGCTTGATAAGACCAAACTAACAACAATATGACCGAGGTAGTAGCACATGAACTGTAAGTATGTGCATATGTTTATCATTGTGGGGACATTTATTAGGAGAAACAGAGGAAAGGAAACTGGTTAACAGAAATTAGCAATAGACTGCATGTCTGCAAGGATTAAAACAAAGCAATTTTTATCAGTTGAAAAAGATCAGGATACGTTCCCTCAGAAGACCTATGAAACACAGTTCTCTCTGTTGTGAATCCAGAAATCACACAGGTTTCTCATTTTCAATAGAATTCACACGGAGATAGCAAAACTTTGGGCAACTGTAGTAGAAATACATACGTTTATAAATAATACATTAGAGACTCACTGAATATTCACCAAAAGTGCATTTTCAGTTTTCGAACGATTGACTTTTATCAACGTGGCTTGAAGCAGGATGTACCTTGTTGTGGCAGTCCTACAGAGAACATTTTAAAATCCACGTGATTTAAATGCATTGTGTTTTGATGAGAGAACATACTTAACTTTACAACTTTCCAGCAGGCCAGTCATGGGTACAGATGGCACTACGGAAAGGGGAGACATGACCCCCTCATATTCACAGTGACCCCGACGCAGAAAGCAGTACCGTGTTGGTCAACATTGACACCTTCACCTGTTTCTATAACAGTTATGATCATAATAACAGTATGTTATCACTTAGAGCGATAAGAAATAAGTATATATATATAAAAACAGCTCACTTGTAGTTGTCCGTAAGTGCCACCATGAGTGTCTGTGTTTTTAATCAATAATACTTTGACATTATTTTTTACAGGCACTTACTTGCAAGCAGCCCAGTCATGGGTTGGATATAATCAGACTGAGAAATTATTAAGTAATTTATATAGTTCTAAAAAAACCCGAAAGAAATCATACTGCAGATTTTTACTGATATCACATTTAATAATTTTTGCATTTTACTCCTACACTAATTAAATAAAGATGTGCCAGTCATGGCTTTCATTATGAGTCATCGGTAAATATGAGAATTAGTCAACTTGTAATTATAGTCTTAGCAAATCTCCGGAAAGATACTATAAAGACTGCTTGCAGCCTCGTGACATCTGCGTCACTGTAGTTCACATTTTTACACAATACACTGAATGTTAACATCATAAGGAAGATTATGCCAATCATTAATGAGATTATTATCTCAATAATGAGTCAAACATAAGAATCATCACGTTATTTAAACATAAAGCTAGATAATACATTTTTAATAGTAATGATGTTACCCTACTGAATAGGGCTAAAATGATTTGACTGTGCTGTCTGTGTTGGTACTACAGTGTCTGACTCTGGTCTGCATGGTGGCACTGCCTAGCTTTACGTGGGTAATTTGAGGACACGGTGCTGCTGCAGACATTCTCCTGATGACGAAGCTCCTGCTGCATCAGCCTTCTTTTCTCACCCTAGCAATGCTATTTTCCCCTCCCTCACTCCCTGTCCCCCATTCCCTTACCCCTCACCTCCCATCAACCCTCTCCTATTTATGCAACTTATTCCTCATGTTGTTTTTTTAGATTGTAAGACTTTTCCCAACTAACACCTTGCACCATATCCACAGGATTACTAAAGCTCCTCTTTTGAACTCTCTAATGGCTCCTCCTACAACATCCCACAGGCTGCTGACTAATGTCATAGTCGGGGACCAGAAGCTTAGCCCACTGCTGGAAAAGTATTATTTTGGGCACTGCCAGAGTCTTTTCTTTCACTACCCATCTATTTCATACACAATGCGCAGCTCTAAGCTGTATGGGCCTGTTACCAAGGCAACGGCTGGGAAATATTTTTGTCCAACTAGCAAATGGGGGGCTTATACAACAAAGAAAAAAGGAAATGAAGTGAAATAATGCAGACAGTGATGGAGCAGCAGATCTATGGTAATGTTTGGAAAACACTGTCAAAAAATATGGTTCAGGTGATAATTGTACAAAGACAAAGACGGGAAGGACAAAGAAGACGCAGTGACCTTCTATCATGCTGTGCACACCCCTTGATCTATCATTATGCTGTCTCTCCTCTGGAGAAATATCTGGAATGAACACTCTGTGCTGTGCAGAGCTGAACTTTTCTTAATTGTTTCAAGGGCAAATAAAGGCATCTGCCAACAAAACAGTGCCGTTGGAACCAAGGTTACACTTTTACCCTGGTATCCCTCTTTTTGCTGCAAATGGCAAGAACTATTGCAACTGTGAAACATTCCAAAATTAAACTGAAATTTTATATAAGCGACACTAGAAAAAAAGCAGAGGGTTTCGTAATCTGCAAGGAAATGCAAATATAAAAAGTTGAATTAAAAACAAATGCAGATTTTACCGCAATCGTACAATAATGGTCATGTTATGTTCTTGGTTTATATTATAACTTATTAGAGCTTGGTCTTCGAGTTTCTGTCCAGTTCTGACATGGAAACACTTCAGGCAGCTTGTGTTAAAGATAGCAGAAGCAGACACAAGCAGCTCCTGTTTAAACACTGTCTGAAGCTTACATAGAGAAAAGGGGGCACTTATCAGTGACCTTACTGCATAAAAAAAACACAGTGTCACTGACGTCTCATGTGCATTCAGGAGTGTGGCACATTAACTGTGCTACCTTTTCCTCATGTTACTTTGTATAATTTATTCACTCTACATCAGTTTTAAAAACACATCTGCTAGTAAAGGTGAACTTTAAATTTGATAACTGATTTGATGTTATTTTAACCAACAATCATGACTGGACAAGGACTTTAGGCTTTTGTTTTTTAAAATTGATTTATGTTTTAGAGATGCCCTGAGACTTGGAATTTTGGCCTTAGAACTTACCGAAAATGTTCACTGGTTTACAAATTCAGAAATAAGTCTGTTCTTTCCATACAAGTTACCTCTTGTTATATATAATCTAGGTGATTCATATTTTCCCTCTGCTTTCAAAAAAACTTCTGCTACCAACATGTGCCTTCTCTCACCTTTGTGCGTCCATTGATGACACAGTTGCCTAGCTGTCCGTTGGCTGCACTGTACATGACGGCCTCATCGATGTGAGCCATAAGCATGCCAATGCTCTCACAACCAGGCTCATGGCCCTCCACCCAGGCAATCTGGTCACCACGAATTCTCCCAGATGGAATGCTCTTCTGGCTCACCAGTTGCCCGCCCCGAAATTTTCCACTGTTGTTCAGAGCTTCCACTTCTTCCCGCACTTTGTCACCCAGCCCAGCACCCAAAAAGTAGTCCTTCAGGCAGATACCGTAGTATTTCATACAGGGAATTATGTATTGTCGAGCTATATGTTCTGCTGACAAGCAGGCTTCTGCAGGACCTGGTGTCTTCTGAATACTATTAGACACTACAGTGGATGGTTGGTTAGGGAAAGCTGTAACACCTGAGAAGGCCACCTTACTATATCCGTTCTGTTGTTTAGTATGAGGAGCAGGAGAAATGAAGGGGGACTGAGTAGTGACACTGCGCAAATGATTAGTAGTCTTTTTGCTGCAACCGTTGCTGCCGTTGACATTGAAAGTTAATGTGGTACCCACTTGTGTTACTTTTTGGGTTTCTGAAGATTTAGGGACCGAACTTTCCTCTGCCAACTTTCTCCTCTTTAAGTCCAAGTCTCTGGAAATGAATGCAGAATTTCCAGAACTGACAAACTCCAGTGACTCTGATGCAACATTAGTTTCTGACACTCTTTTCTCTCCAGGCCTGCATTTCTGCTGGTGCACATGTCTGCCCTTCAGATCACCATTGACCCTCTTTATCCACAAAGGGCACTTGTTGTAACCTGTCGAATCCCCGCTCTCCCCATGAAAGGCTCTGCTGGTGATGAGAGGGTATTCAAGGTCACCGTTTATACCCTCTGTTCCCTTTATTTGTGCCGGGTAACCGTCAGGTGTGTGAGCCTGAGCGCTTTCTTGGCTCCCCTCAATGGTGGCAGATGGGGACACCACCCCGCCGTTGTAAGGAGGGACGCCGGTCTTCGACTGTTTCGTCGGTGTGGTGATTCCGGGTGAGTGGTTCTGAGAGGACAAACCTGCGAGGAGCTCAGCGGCTGTCGGGCTCCCGACCGGCGAAGCACAAATGCCGTTCAGCCCCATGTCCGCCCTGTACGTGCGCTGAACTTCAGTGGGTCTACGGGGCAGCTGCTCTCCGCTGGTCCTTCCTTCTTGTGAAGGCAAAGTAGCAACGGATTCCTGGGATGAGTTCGGGCTCAAAAGGTCCGTGCGTCCCAGGATCTCCATTTCATCTCGTCATCTGCTGGATGCGCACGTAGCTCACGTCCTCGCCTCATTTTCTAGCTTTCTCTGATGGGGAGCTGAGCTGCCACATGCGCACAGACCAGAGGAAGTTTCATGTCCAAAAACTCAGTCTTTACCTCACCCCTCCACTGTCATTTAATACTGTCGCTCTCTGTGTTTACGTGTACCTCTTCAAAACACATCTTGACGTTGTGTAGAATATCTGCAGAGAGTAAGACGATACACTTTTAGGCCTATTTATAGCACAGAGAAACCATTTGTCACGGTGGACTTAGAGTTAAATATAACAGCAAGAGAAACACGAATTTTACCTGTATGGTTGATTTTTAAATAAAAACAAAAAGAAAGGCACTACACGTTTCGTTTTTGTTACCATATTATTAAAAAAATAATATACATTAAAATGTATGCAACACTGTAGGAATGTATTAACCATCAGTGATAAATACGAACTGTTTGACTACCGTTAAATTAAAATGAAAACCTTATTTATTTAAACTACAAATGCTACCGCTATTAAAAAGTTAATTGCTAAAAATGAAGAAACTTGCTTAAAACGCCTTCACTTTTCCTGACAGGTTGGAAACATTTGAATAAACTAAACACAAACACAACAACGATGTAAAAATGTTCATTTAGAAAGCCTAAACGAAATAAAAATGTAAACACTTATTAATACAATATTTGTACTGAATTTAAACGTCAGTTGTGGATTTTTAACCGTTAATGTCTATCGCTTACAGGACCTTTCATTCAAAGATTAAGCATTGAACGTTTACATTTATCTATGTAGTTCAAATGCGAACGTTTAAATGTTTAAGTACATTTGTTATGTTGCTGTATATGATTAAAATTTAAAAACGAAAACAAAATAAAAGCATATCCTGTGGACCATACAGTGTAACGCTTACCTTACACAGAGAACAAAATCCTCAGTGAGCGTACGTGACAGGCTGAGAGTACGCATGTTATTTCCGGGATGGTCCGGCCCGGTCCTTTCCAGTATTAGTATCGGTTATAAATAATAAAAACAAACATGGCAGCGACGCCGACCCAACACCTTAAATCTCCGCACGAGTGACACCGAGAGATGAGGACGAAAGGGGATCCTAGAAAGCCACACGAGGTACCCTCAATCACAGAGAGAGATGGACTGTTTTCCGTTGTGTCGATGAGACTCCCCCTCCTTCTTCCCGCGCTCCTCCCTCTTCTCCCTCCTCCCCCTGCTCTTTCTTGTTCGGTCTCAACTCTACGGTCGTGCGAACGTTCCATGTGATCACTACTAATGACCCAGTAACGCAAGCGCCATGTTTACGGTTTAGACGTACAACTGAGGACACGGAGATTCAATACACTAAGAACAACAAAGTCAAAGTCAGCTTTATTGTCAATTTCTTCATATGTACTAGACATTCATAGGAATCGAAATTTCGTTTCGCACTTTCCAATGCATAGACAAGACAGGGCAAAACATTAAAGTGCAAAACTAAACCCTAGTATTTACCAGATTTAGATTATACCATTATGTTACATATCAAACACAACATTCACATTTTAATTTGCATTCATGAATTAATGTTTGTTAACTTCAGGACCTATATAAACTTACAGCTTTACAGCTTTATTAAGAAAATATATTTAAAAACAACCGTCTTGGACCAATGGCCACAAATAATAATAATAATAATAATAATAATAATAATAGGTAAGTCTTCTTGCACGGAGGCTGGAACATTTGAAGGCATATCGGAAAAACATTGCTGGCTCTAATGGAACTTCATTTTCATGGGTCTGCAATATTTTTTAAATGTGTTAGCCACATTGTTTAATCATCCCTATTTTATTTTTTCAATCGCCCCAGGAAGCTGTACACACCCACCTCTTGGTCACAGTCCGAATTAATGTGCCAAGTAATGTGAAATGATGACGTCAAACATAATCTGGCCTCGTCATAAAACCTTATATTGATTCTCTTTTCTTCCCGAAGGGCACAGTTCTGTCCGTCATTGTAGCCAATTCATTAGCACCTAGGAATGAACTAATGCTGTTGCACAGGAAGCTGGATTAGTGACTCATCCAGAAGGATTAAGCAGACCAGGCAATGACGGTAGGCTGAGAGGCCATATTAACTCTGTGGGTTCCATTGCAGCCACACCTTAGCCTACAGATGTAACTGTGAAATGCTGAGGCCACTCAATATGGGCTGGTACCAATTCAAGTATGCAAACCTAAACACAATGGGGGATTTGTTAGTGTGATGACAACAATAATCACAGTGATGTTTTTGAACAAACGCTGCACAACTATACATTTATATACAAATGGTTATTTAAGAAAACGTGGTTAGTGGATTTACAGATGTAGATTCTTTTTTGAAACTGAAACAGGTTATTAGAACAGAAAAAAACAATGTTAGAGACTATAAACATGACATGATTGTTGGTTCCCAACATGCAGGTCCAATTTTTTCAGAAACATATGTAAATATTCAGCCATTGCTTTACTAAAAAATGAATTGACAACGTGAATTGAGTGAGAGGGAGTTTTTAGCACAGTTGAAAACACCTTGTGGATACTTTCTACTAAAGTAATTCAGTGTTAATCTGATGTGAAGGCTACATTGGCTATGTTGTCTTGAAAATATTTCCTGTTAGTGGAGTTCATGTCCTTGTAAATGACATGACATATGCCCACATATTGACAATAACAAAGCTGAAATAAGTATAGTCAAAAATCAGTTTATGATGATAAAACAATCTTTCAGTGGGAAGTATTTATCAGTAATCTAATCTTTGACTTGCAGAGTATGTGGTAACGTAGAAGGGTGAGTAATGTGACCAGAAGGTTTTGTTTGACTCTGAGTCGAGCTTTCCACCACGACACAGTTGGCCAAAGGTTCACCGTGCTCAGGATGTAGGAAAAAGGAAGCCTTTGACCCTGACTATCAATAATGAGTTCATTCTCAGGTCGGACAGTCTTTGTTTTGAGTAAAAACTGACTAGGATTATTATGGTGTTTCCAGGTTTGCCAGTACCAAGGAAACCAGAATTCAGTTATCATACCGTATGACTAACGCTGTTGTTTTCGCAACACTGAAAGATGACAGGTGATTCACAATTTGGCTTTGATGGTAGGAACAATCATGGGCCAACTTCCCACTTTCAGTCTGAGCAGTACTGACAATGAACTTAACATTGACATCAAAAAGGTTGCCCTATCAGGATACACGAAAAATAATACTCCAGGAAACAAACACATTCAAACACCTGCGTGAGGGAATTAAGCCAGCAGCTTCTTATCCGGCCTCCTGTAATGCGTCTGCATCAAAATGTTGGCACTACTTTGAAACTCGGCAACACAAAAGCACACCTGTATGCACGTAAATTATTTAATGCCATTTATATTTTTTACAATTGTGCGTACATGATAGACAAAACCGTTGCAATCAGTCGTTTCCTGTGTATTTAGAAATGTCACTAGATCATTTATTAGCTGACCAGCTGACACATGGGTTTAACACTTGTTTGTCCCAGCGTCTGAAAAACAATTTAATCATTGCCAAGGTCATTACTCCCACCACAGCTGGCAGGAATCCCTTTACTGAGTAACTGGTCTAGTGCAGCTCTGCACGTATGCACATCTCCTCCTCCTCCTCTTCCTTCTACTCCACCCCCTCTCTCACTCTACTCACTGTCCTTCTATCGTTACTTTCGATGCGCCACGAGAGTCATGCAAAGAGAAAAACTGCGCCTCAAAAAATTGTTTTAACCTATAGGATGTATTTTACTGATCAATAAAACATGTTAAAAACAACACGTTGTATTTTTGCATGTATGTTTTATGAAGATGCCAATGTAAACAACATACATGGCCTCAGTGCGCAGTGGAAAGGATTTGAGTCAGACGACAGATGAAACTGCAGAAAGGAGCTTAGATGTCACAGGCATATTTGACACTATTTAAAATTCATGAATAAGTGTAGCTTCTCTGTGTGTCAGATATATACGGCACTAACTGCACCAACCTGCATACCTGTTGTCCAAGAACTAACCCACAAAGGTTTACTTTTTCACATAATTAATGCAAAGTCTGTGTGTGAGCGCCACTGAGATCTGCACAAGGTGCAACATGTTTGTCAAGCACAGCTGAGACAAAGGAGTACAGTTATTAGTTTGCGAAAACAGTAAAGGCTGTGTGAATCTGAGAATGTGTCTCTTTAAAATAGACAAGAGAAACAACACATTTTTGTCTTGTTTTGGCAATTTTGTCTAGAGAATAAACAAAAAAGGAATGGTCTTACAGAAAGCAACCCAAAAACTTGTCTGTACGAGAGCGCCCGTTTGCAAGCTAGAGTGAGTGAGGACCAGTTGACCTCAGAACCATCTCCACCTCTGTCATTATCTGGCCTAACAGAAACTCAGAAACAAGGAGTATGACCATACAGTTGTCAAGGTCTTACAGGAACCAGAGAACAGATAATGAGTAGATTTCCCATCAATGGCAAGCACACATAAGGTCAGGCTGGTCGTTTCAGTGATTTTCCACTCTTCCTTTTTCACTCATGTTGTAAATGGAAGGCATTAAATCCAGGGGACACTTTTTGTTTTATTTAGCAATATACTCACTGACTAGGCAACTGGATTTTCTTTTAAAATAAAAATGCCTATAGTGGAGTGCAACAGAAACCTGGAGAAATACCTGCAATAACACCATTGGTTCTTTAAACACAACACTGACGTGACGTCCGGTAGGGGGTGGGCCAGATCAGCCTGGGCTTCATGTTAGTCTGGATATTTGCTGGAATAAAAGTAAAGAGGAATGAGAAATTAAAGGAGGGTGGATAATGGAATGGAATCATTACTTAATTCTTGTTTACATATGGAACCCGCGGCAAACATAACAATAGGTGGCTTCATGTGTGATTACATGTACTATTTGGTCCTTACAAGGTTGGAGGTGTGTATGTGTACACAAACAAAACTTTTGGCATGCAACAATTAAAGGACATCTTACTTACGTCAAAAAGACTTGAAGAATACAAAATACACTAAATTATAAACTTATACAAAGACTGAGTGTGTGTTTATGATGGAGGAACCTGACTGTGGTCTTCTCATTGTAGACATCCTCTTCCTGTAGGTCCTTTGTCTTATTTAAGCCTTCTGAAGAGGACTGAGAAGACCACGCCTGTCACCTTGTTGTGTACAATTATAGAGAGCTGCGTGAGGTCAAAGGGTGCTTCATATGTGTGTGTTTGCGTAAAGACAAACCGCAACGCGTGATTGGGGTATATTTTGAAATACGTAATTTACATTCATCACTGAACATGCCTAATAATACACAATATACCTCCCCTTTGTCTTTATAGTGCGCCTTATAAAATTATTATGAACCTGTTTTTAACTCGCAACAGTCCTCTGCTGCCATCTTGTGGGTCTTGTTTATAATTGCATTTTAGTTGTTCTTAATTCGGGTATTTAACAGCGACAACCAACGTCTAATTGTAAACAACCAAATTGTACCAGATGTGGTCAACAATTGTGTTTTGTGATTGTTATTTAATGCAATAGCGTTTGAAGCTATCGGTGGCGGTGAGGTGCTGCTGTTTTCAGTACCTACCGTTTCTTGTATAGTCGCTTCCGGGTTGTTTTTGATGACGTGAAAGTTCAGAGGTTACGCAGAGGTTGTGTTTTGTTTTTGCTCCATTAGAAACTACAGGTGGACTAAAGGTACAAACTTCAGCCTGACACAGTGATGTGATGGCCTTTCTGACTCTTTTTGTGAGAAGACAGCTACCCCAGACCTTTTCTCACTTTGCCCGGGTGGTGAAGCTGATCCGGCCGCCCTTCTGCGGAGCCTCCCTGCGGAAGCTGCACGGCCCCGTCCGGCTGCGGCAAAAGGAGAAGGGACAGTGGGGCAAGAACCGAGATCCGGAGCCGCAACGGCACCAATACACAGACCTGGAAAAGGCGGACGCGTTGGTACGGTTCATTCTGAAAGACATACATACATTTATATTTAACAATAATAAAATCAAAATATGCACTATCGCATCGCAGCCTGACTTCTCCCCAGATTCACTCCACCCAACAGTTTCCATCATGATAATCATCACTTGATTGACTGAATCTTGACCTGTAGAGTCAAATTAGCTGAAACTGCTTCTCGGAAAGAAATGATAGTACTGTTACCTTTCATTATTAGAAAAACAATTTAGTTAGTACGTTGTTGTTGGTGGTGTACAGTTCCACTCAACAGTAGTCATTGTTATTAGTAGTATTTAATAATCTTTTTTTCATAATAATCACTTGCTTTCTGTCATATATAACAAATTCTTGTGAGGAAAAAGTCTGTATTTGAGTTAGAGGATTCAATTCATACAAAATTATAAGCTGAACCAGGACAAAACTGTGATGACATTTCCTGACGTATGAATAAAATTCTTTGTTTGTACAAAGTATTGTTTTAATTATGGTTGCCATTTAACGCATGATAATCATCTGTGTTGATTCAATTATGCTAAAATATTTATTTTATGTTTTTTTCTTAGTTGCTGAGGAAATCATATGAAACAGGTAAGTGTAAATGATACATAAAGTCAACTGACTATATATATATATATATATATATTTCTGGCTTGATTTTCAGGATTTCTCTCATGGCTCAAGAATGGGCTGTTGGCAAATGGGATTGGAGTGGTGGCTTTTAACCAGAGTGATGATGGAAGACAAGCCGGATGCGGTAAAGAATTCATTCACTTTGTATTTTCTGCAGAAGTGATGAACTGTGTGAAACAGTTATTAATATTAATATTTTTAATGTCATCCAGGCCATGTAAAGGAGTGTAGATACTTTACCTGTCATCCAGAAGATGATTGATTGAAATCAGGCTTATATTAAATTCATATTAAGTTAAAGTTTAAGAAAGTACAGTTGAATCAATTTGTTTATATTTTAAAACTCTTGAAGGAGACTGCTAACTTTTCTGGATCCTTAATGTATAACTCATGAAAATGATAAATTAATTCATGTTCCACCATTTGAATGTTATATAATAAACTGAATACCAAACCTGTTTCAATCCATCTTTCCCCAGTCTTCCTTTTCCTGGGCTACATTTGCATGGTGACTGGCAGCGTGTCTTACATCGGAAACCTCTTCGCCTTGCGGAAGATGATGATGCTGTCACTGCCGACCCTGCTGCTTCAGGGTGCTTTGGTGCTCACCATTGCCTTCTCCTGGGTGTGGGCGGTGTCTCTGTACACTACACATGTAATGGTGATCATCCCAGGCCTAGAGGAGTCCGACAATTGCGAAGTGTGCAGCGAGAGGCGAGCCATCCTGGAGAACAGTGGCTCCGACAACAGTGAGGACGATGACGGCAAGAGCTCGGAGAAGAAGTGACTTTTGTTTGTCCACACCAGACCGCGATGAAAGTTCTTAAATGCCCTATCTCTCTGTGTCGAGGTCACCTGCACCCAGACCTTAAGTGAGGTTCCACCTGGAAGTGGATAAAAAAACCCACAAATTTGTTTTTAATTTTCCACCACACAAATTGACATTTCTCTTCAATCCTGGGAAGTTTATGAAAATGTATACCTTATTTATGCACACGGGTTGTAGTTTTAGCCATGAGATGCTATGAATTAGGTGAGTGCTGGTGAAGTCATACTGTGAAAACCCACACAAAGACACACATACAGGGACAATAAATCAAGTGAAACACAAACAAGGAAAGAACACAAATCACTGGGAGGACATTTAAACTCCACGAGGACGAACCTCAGTCTAAACAACAGGGAACATCTTCATCAGGGAACTTCTTTTCTGGTAATCCCAACTGCACTATTGGGAAATCTCTTGTGTTCTTAAGTCTACGTTAGTCATTAAAGAAAAGGTGCTTAATCTGTCGCTGTACAGTTCCATCAGTGATTAAAAGTATCTGACCAAGTCTGTCTCATCTTTTAAATTTTTTTTTTTTTTACATATTCTTCTGTCATTATTTAAATACTTGTTCAACAATACATTCCTTAGTGTGGCCCAGCAGGTGGAGCAGGTCGTCCTCCGAGGTCAGGGGTTGATCCCAGGCTTCCTTACAGCACCACGGTTTTCACTCCTCAAATAAAAACCCAAGGTCAAAATACATCTGAAATAAGACAAAATATGTGTAGATTATTGTTTGTAGCCTCACCTGAAAATCAGTGAAGCATCAGCAGACATTAATTAAAATCAGTTAGCTAAAATGTTATATTATTGTTACTGGATCGTTTCCAAAAAAAAAAAGTAGTGATGCTGGTTTTTTTTTTTATATAATTTTGTTTTGAAAAGTGCTTTGAACTTAATTAATATTCTTGCCCAGAGGCAGCTATGCTAATGACCATACGGCATATTTGGATTTTCAGATTTTCTTCATACAGTTTACTGTCATATTAAACAGAAAATTATGCAAGGATGGCAGTAGAATTTCACAGGTTTGGAATCTCATCTTCATTGGTTCTCATTTTGTGCTGTCCTTTTTTTACTTCACTCAGTGTTGAACCAATTGTAGTTCACATGGGATGAACAGTTAAAGGGCCACATGCTTTACTGTGTTACAGCTTTATTTATACACACTCACCTGCCTTTTTTAAATATCAAGTACTGAAGACAAGTATAGTGACCCAATCAATTCTAATGATCTTTTCTGAATTCAAGATTTTGTCTGAAAATATACAAATAATTTGTTTGTCTATGCAACACTCACACGCAGGTCAATTAAACACCTTTCCACCAGGTGGCATCAGACAGTTCTTTAAACTAAATAAATGTCTCAAAGTTGTTGAAGAACTAGAGTCTTCCTTCAATTCCTGCAAATATATCGTAGTTGTGTTCAACTAAAGAGGCCTAGGTTTTAAACTGAGTTTGTGAATTATTTGTTTGAATTATGACGTATTATATTTCACCACACATTTTATTAGGTGGTGTGGGAGTTTCTTTGGTAATAAATATGCCGTGGCTCAAAAAGGTTGGAAAACACTGAACTAGGACGTGCTTCTAACTCTAAGATTTGTTTTAAATACTACAAAAAGTTCGGATGGACACAACATTGAAGTATAAATCTGACGAAAACTGTAGAAACAATTCATTCCAGATTAAGGTTTCTTTTTGAAGTCATTCCAAGTCTCTACATGGGAGACTCCTACATAGCTGGTGAGTCAGGCCAAGGTTGTCACATGTACATTTAAATTGTATTTTTTGTTGTTTTTAAGCTTGATAAAGCTGATCAATTCTCAGATTAGAGCTCAGAAAATACCCTCGGAGTCTCCGTGCTAATTACAGGTGTCTGTTGGGTATTGCTTTCTCAAACCCAAAAACTTGAAACTCTCTGCCAAATCCTGGGTATGCAGGGGGAAAAAATCCTTCTTGAGAAAATAATCAGCTTAAGCAGAGGCCTCTTACTTGAGCCTGATGCCTGAGGAAACATTCTCATATTTATAAGGATTAATCAAACAGTAACACAGACGTGCTGTCAGAGTCAGACGCTCTCCCCGCAGAAGGAGTCAAACGATGTACAAAGTGTTCACACACACATGCTGTACATGCATAATGTTTATAATGAGCTATGCTCCCTGCAAGTGTGTGAGGATATGAGCTGACCAGAGCAGTGTGTGAAGGTGTGTGTGTGTGTGTGTTGGTGATGGTAGGAGGCTTTGTCTGTGATAAGTATCAGTGACTGGGTCAGGGCGAAGGTCTGTGATATCTCCCAGCCATCGACACACTGCGTTGCTGTTGAGACTCACCTCAGAGTCACCCTCTCCTCCTCTCCTCCTGTCTACCCTCTCTACACCCTCTCCCTCCTCTCCTCCTCCTCCTCCCATCTAGCCGATTCCCCGGGCGTTTCAGTGCAGTTGTGTTTTCACATGCAGGGTGTGTCTGGACGGATGCTGCAGTGTGTCCACCACCCCAGCTCCGTCTCCTCCTTCTCCCTCCTAACCTCCCTGCCTCAGATCCTCCACCCTTTTTCGCCCTCAAATCTTTTTTCTTTCTGGTCCCCCCCCCCACGTCCGCTTCTCCTCCCCTCTCGTCTCTCCTCCCTGGCTGCATTTGACTGCACAGGTCTGTTTGGCATGCAGGAGGCTCCTGAGGCCTGGCGCGTCTAAAGGGCAGGGCGCCCAGAGGCAGGAGACGCACCCTCACTGACAAACACCATATTCCCCAGACCCTGCAGCTTGGAAATCACAACACCAGACACGACTCCAGCACCAAGTCTGGCCTCATACATCTCCAAACCTCAAACCCTCACTCCTGCGCTCTCATCCCAGGGACTACAGGAGCCGTAACCTCTGCTTATTTTTGCGGCACAGATTTGCTCAGCTGCTCTCAGGTGTTAAATGCCACATGTATGGATCAAAGGATCTGCTTTGAGAACTACATCAAGTTTGGTTTGGCCTTCTCCTGACAGGGTGGGGACAGAGGTGATTCCTGGGACACAGCGACGAAGATGG